GGCCAGCGGCCGCAGGCTGCTCCCAATTGCGGCTCTTCTCGTTTCCCCACGTTTCGTCCGCCTCTCCACAGTCCTGGCCACGTTGCGGCCTCCTGCTCCTCACTCCTACCCCGGCCCCCTGTTCTCGTTCTCGCCAGGGCCGCTGGTGCTCTGGGGCCCGACTGGGCCTGCGTCTGGGGGCTCCGGCCAGGGCGCCGCCCCGGGGGCCTTTGGGAGTCCACGGGGCTCCCACCCTGGGCCCAGGCCTCGCCCTGCGCTGTAGGGCATCAGGGTGCAGACAAGGGCCCCCACTTGGCAAGCGCCCCCGAGGCAACTGGCGGCTGCTTACCCCAGGCTCCTGCCGGGCACAGCATCTGAGCACAGAGTCCTCGGAGGGCCCAGCGCGCCGTCCTCCTTGGGGCCCTCTTCCTCGGGGCCCTCTCCCCCCAGGCCCTTCCCGGACGTAGAGCGAGTCCCCCCAGGGCCTCCCTGTCCCGCCGGCCCCCTGGAGCCTTCTCCCCTCACCCCCAGCTCCGGCGCCAGGGGAAGGGCCTGTGGGAGGTCCCTGTGGAGGCCGGCGAGGCCCCACTCGCAGCCCTCTCCGAGCTCCACTCGGGGGCTCCATTGCCGTCACCTGGCACCCCCAGCTGCCCAGCACCCCCCAACAGGCTGTGAAGCAGAAATGCTCACAGACTGGCCAGGGAACGTGGTGGCTGGCATTTGAAGCTAAGTTTTACCTCGCCAGCCAGCAAGGGCTGGCCTGGACAGCTGCCCAGCCGGTGCCCGCGGTCAGAGGCCTGCAGCCAGCGAGCCCCGACCCGTCCAGCGCCTGCCCTGGAGCGCGGCCCCGGAGGGTTGCCCCGCTAACGCACACAGACCCCGGGGAGAGGTCCGGGGGTCCTGGTGTCTCAGAAACGTGACCAATACTTGGCTGACTCTGATGGTGCTTTTCTAATTCCACAATTCCATGTGAACGTGCCCGCGAGGGCCCCAGAGAGCCAGTCCATCTTCTAAGCGGCTGCACAGAACCGGCCGCGGGGCCTCCCCCATGGGGGCGGGGTGCTTCATTAGCAACTGAGAGCCTATTGTCACTTTTCAGGAAGTTTGGGAGCCAGTTACTCAAGGCAGCCAGTAAAAAATTAAATTCTATAAGCTTATAATTAACATGATATTTAAAAGTAATAAATGCTCAGAGCAAATCCCTTCTCGCTATGTCGCAATCTTGAGGGCTGGTTTATTTCCGTCCTCTGTAAATACGCTGACGGCTGCGCTGGGAGCTCCCACTCAGCCCTCAGACACGCGCTACAAATCCCCGCCAGTCCGCTTCGTGCTTGTCTGCTCCAGAAGCCGTTTGGTGCTTTTGAAGCGAGCTTTCCACGCGGTCCACGCGGTCCACGCGCACGCCGGCCCCACGCCCACGCCGCCCCC